TATCTTGGAAGTCTGATCAGCCCTAATGGGTTGGTGTCTGACGAAATCTCAGCACGGATTCGAAAAGCTCGCTTGGCTTTTGCCAACGTACGTCACCTATGACGAAGGCGAGATATCCGTCTATCAATAAAAGAACGAGTATACTGCGCGGCAGTTCGTTCTGTTCTACTTCACGGCTGTGAAACGTGGCCATCAAGGGTAGAGGATACGCGTAAGTTACTAGTATTTGATCACAGAGGTCTCAGAAATATTGCTCGTATCTGCTGGGATCAGTGGGTAAGTAATAATGAGGTTAGACGCAGAGTATTAGGGAATGGTGGTAAATCAGTTTATGAGGTTGTGAATCTTCATCGACTGATATAGTTGGGACACGTGTTACGTATGCCTGAACACCGAATACCACGACGCGCCATGCTGACCGGTGTTGGGGATGGTTGGAAGAAAGTTAGGGGAGGCCAAACCAAAACGTGGTACCAGTTCTTGAAGTCACTAACTTCTAGTCTGAGCCATGTCGGTAGATGCAGACTACTTGATTATGGTCCGCGTGACTATCGTAACCAATGGTTGGAGACTCTTGGTGACATGGCTCAGAATCGATCACAATGGCGTAGGTGCATACACTCTTTGTCTTCACTTAAACACTGAAATTAAAATTACTTTATACCTTTCTTTCTACGAACTACTCCTTTCTTCCTGTACTATATCCTTATATATAACCTCCTTATATCAAACTGGCTGCCTTCAACGTTCGCACATTTATGCAGGTCGGACAACAGATAGGGCTGGCTATGTCTTTGGAAAGTCTTAATATCGACGTGTGTTGTCTATCCGAGACCCGTACTCAAGACTCTGGCGAAGTACTGCAAATTCGATCTCCATCTGTCGCTTCGAAAAGCTTGTTTTACGTGCGCTTATCCGGGGACCCTGTGGCATCTTCGTCTGGTCTTGCTGGCGTTGGTGTCGCACTAAGCGCTAGAGCTGAGGCAGCACTAGTCGATTGAATCCCCATTAACAGTCGGTTATGTGCTGTCAGATTAGAAAGTTCCATCAAAGTGAGAAGAAATCGGCGTGAGAAACGATGTCTTTTTGTCATCTCCGCCTATGCCTCGACAGATTGCAGCCCGGATGCAATCGAGGATGAAATCTACCATCAGTTAACTGTTCTTCTCCAGAAAGTGCGTTCGACAGATATTGTAGTATTGCCGGAGACTTGAATGCTCAGGTCGGGCGTTTAGGTACAGAAGAGAATCGTCTAGGTGGCCGATGGGGACTCGTTGGTCGCAGGTCAGATAACGGGGACCGTCTACTGCAACTGTGCACAGACCACAACCTGTTTCTGGCTAGCACTAACTTTCGGCACAGTCATCGCCGATGTGCCACCTGGCGTCCTCCCTCTGCATCCTAAGCCTGGACTCAGATTGATCACATCGCGATCAGCTACCGCTGGCGTGGTTGTGTAAAAGACTGCCGCTCCTTTTGGAGTACCTATCTGGACTCTGACCATGCCTTGGTCTGCGCCAATCTTGCCTTACTTTTCAGTGGACAACGAAGTGACCACCATCAACGGATTGATGTCAGCAAATTGGTTACAACTTCTGTTGCAAGTAAGTATCGAACCGAGCTAGCCTCTAGGCTAGCTACCACTCCACCGAAAAGTATAGATGAGCATTGGTTGCAATTGCATGACGCCATGAAAATGGCGGGAACAGTCAGTTGTGGGTTTGCGAAACGTCCCGCTTATAAGCACTGGGTTTCTTCTGGTTCCTTACAACTCATTGAAGCCCGTCGGTCTACTCCGGGTGACCGTGAGTTTGACCATAAACGAAGGATGTTACGTGAGGAAATTGGGCAAAGCTTGCGTAAGGACCGAGAAGCCTGGTGGTCGATGCGTGCTAATGAGCTGGAAGCAGCAGCTGCATCTGGTAACTGCCGGAAGCTCTTCCAGCTCATCCGAGCCACTGGCAGCAAGAAGTCTGGTGTGAGTGAAACAATCTGCGAGGATGATGGGATGCCAATCACTAACATCCATCGACGTCTTGGACGATGGGCAGAATTTTTCGAAGGGCAGTTCAACTGGCCTGCTGCTCCGGCAACATCGGTCAGACTGTCCTGCCCTCCATGGCCGGTGACGACTGATCCACCAAATGAGGAAGAAGTCCGCAAGGAACTCCAACTCTTGAAGCGTTACAAATCACCTGGTCCAGATGACTTACCTCCGGCTCTTTTTAAAGATGGTGGTGACTTTTTGACTAAGGAATTGACGACGTTGTTTACAAAGGTTTGGGAACTAGAGAGTGTACCAACGTCATGGAATGAGTCGATAGTTGTCCCTATCTTTAAAAAGGGTTCACGTCGTTCTTGTAACAACTATCGGGGGATAAGTTTACTTCCGATTGCGTCCAAGCTATTGGCTTCCGTCATTCTTCGTAGGTTGTTCAAAACCCGAGAAAGATTGACTCGCGAGGAGCAGGCTGGGTTTCGTTCTGGTCGAGGATGTATTGATCATATCTTCACCCTCCGCCAAATGTTAGAACACCGCCATACTTATCAAAGGCCAACAATCGTAGTGTTTCTTGACATCAGTGCTGCCTTCGATTCGTTGGACAGGACTGTTCTCTGGGATTGTCTATTGAAGAAGGGTGTGCCTGAGAAGTTTATTAACATCCTAAAAGCCCTATATAAAAACACCTCAGGCAGAGTGAGGGCATACAACCACCTTTCTCCATTGTTCCATTCGAGTAGTGGGGTTAGGCAGGGTTGCCCAATCTCACCATTCCTCTTCAACTTTGCCATCGATGACATTCTGGAAACAGCTCTGATGAATGTAAGTAATGGTGGTGTGGATCTGTTGCCTGGAGAAAGACTTCTCGACCTTGAGTATGCGGACGATATTGTCTTACTGTGCGATAATGCCCAAGGCATGCAATCCGCACTTAATCAGTTGGCAATCAGTGTCCGTAGGTATGGTATGTGCTTTGCACCTTCGAAGTGCAAAGTACTTCTACAAGACTGGAAGGATTCTAATCCTGTACTCACCCTGGATGGTGAGCAGATAGAAGTAGTCGAGAAGTTCGTGTATCTGGGTAGCTGCATAAGTGCTGGTGGGGGTGTGAGTGATGAGATCAATGCACGAATAGTGAAAGCCAGAGCGGCTTATGCCAATCTGGGCCACCTTTGGCGCCTTCGTGATGTTAGTCTGGCTGTAAAAGGTCGGATCTACAACGCGTCGGTGAGAGCAGTTTTGCTCTATGCTTGTGAAACCTGGTCTCTCCGAGTTGAGGACGTCAGACGACTCTCTGTGTTCGATCATCGCTGTCTCCGAAGGATTGCTGACATTCAGTGGCAACACCATGTCAGTAATGCAGAGGTTCGGCATCGTGTGTTCGGGCACAGAGATGATAATTCAATTGGTGTCACCATTTTGAAACACCGACTTCAGTGGCTTGGATATGTTCTCCGAATGTCGTCCCAGAGAATTCCACGTCGTGCATTATTTGCCGACTCTGGGACTGGTTGGAAGAAGCGGAGAGGTGGTCAGTGCATGACATGGTGTCGTGGCATGAAAGAAAGCTGCAAAGGACTGGCTTGTGTTGGTCCTTCACGACTCCCTGGTTGGGGTCCGAGAGATGGTGCTACACAGTGGCTAGAGACGTTATCAGATATGGCTCAGAATAGAAGCCAGTGGCGATCCTGCTGTAACCTTCTTTTACTTTCTTCATAAAAAGTGGTTGTGTCTCCTTTACCTGAAAGATTTCTTCTGATTGTACCTTTTCGTTCCGTCGTTACTACCACACTACCTTACTCCAATCTCTTCGTCATTGTTCTCTTTTTCTTTTGCGTTCCTTAGTTTTTTTTTCTTTCTACTTCTCTTCGAATTCTCATTGTTTTGTGTGGCGCATATATATTGGCGCTCTCTTGTACCAATATTTATGTGTTCAAATAAATAAATAAATATCCTTATATCCAATCTTTCTTGTATATATTGCCAACATTGTGTTAACTAATCCTATGAATCCGTTGTTCATCTTGCTGTTCCAATGCCGTATGGCAACTTGGACCGACGTGTGATGTTTTGGTATGTAGGAGCAGGTTGGAAGTAATCTATGGACGGCCAGAACAAAACATGGCACAAATCCATGATGTTACTGCCAAGTAGACTGGGCAATGTTGGTAGATGTAGACTACCTGGTTGGGATCCGCGAACTGATGGTTAGAGACACTGAATGACATGGCTCAAAATCGTTTGCACTGTAGCAGGTTCATTCATTCTTTGTGTTCTCACAAGTTCTAATCTTCTGAATTCTTCATGTCCCTTTCTTTTACTCTTTCCATATTTATTTCACTGTATTATACTCCTTGAACAACATCTTCTAACCCTAATCTTTTCGATTACTGCGTATACTTTTACTACCTCTAGCACTATGGGATTTGAATAGACAACTGCATCTCTGTGCTAATGTGGTATGGCAACTCAAACTGATATGTGTATGTCCGAAATTCTACGTTGTTGCTGACTGACTGATTCCAGCTGAGTACGAAGCTTCATAAGACCGCAAGCTATTATCCTCAATCGTATTGGCATGCGTACTTGTTGGGTACGACCTTCGAATTAGTAGTAAACGTAAGAGCTGACAGCTTGAGCTAACATTTAATAGTCGATCATAGTACATTTTTTTTATTTTTTATGACTAAGATACTACAGCTTTCCACAGTTCTCCATTTTTCTACTCGTTTGCTTCTCGATCTCTTTATCAACATAAATGTTTCTGACCGTGTGATTTTCTACGCTTTACTTACTATTGATTTTCCTTTCTTTTTGCATTGGAATTTATCATGCTTAGATTTAATTGGCCAAAATAGGTATTTGTCTTCGCAATTTGGTAAAATATGCGTCAGTATTTACTTCAATAATTAGTGGTGGGTGAACTTATTTTAACGTATAATAATATATGTTCACTTGACGTTATTTAATAATTATTTCTTTTGTTTTATTTATTCAGTTATTATTCCAGCACAACCTATTCCTGGTTTCTTTTGCTTCCGCTGGGGATGCAGATACACCAGATTTCATTTGTTATGTGGCCAAAACAGATCAAGACACTCGTATGTGTTACGTTTTTGAATGTTCAGATGGTCTTGCCCAGAATGTAATTATTACAATCGGACAAGCATTCCAGCTAGGATATCAGGTGAATATTAACACGAATTCACATCTGCGAATTGTCATGGGCACTTGTCCTTTAGATTGTAGTTGTTTACCCTAAGTTTTGATGTAGAATGTTTCATGAAGCTTAACCAGGATTCTAGTCGTTAGTATAGCTTACTGACACTGTAAAAACTATTGATAACGTGTAGCAATTCAAAATAGATAGCTTAACATCAATAGCCATTTTCAGTCGCTGAGATTATTTCAAATATAATTTTCACATATTTTAGCAGACTTTAGTCAATAGGAGTAAAAATATCTAAAATTTAAAGGAAAAGATTGCTTAATTTATTTCCTTGTCTGAGATGAAATGTAGCCACTTAAAAAGATGCATGCTTGTGTTGTATTTTAATTTGTGAGTGCTAGTTTAGTGTTTTGATCACTGGGTCTTATGTCCATATCTCATCCCATTGAATTCGCTGTGAGCAGTCGAGCTGTATCTTCAGAACACAGTGTTAAACTTAAATCCGAACGCGTAAACCTGTAAATGAAATAAACATTTTTATGGTCGGTGACGAAGCATGTTAATTAGTATAAGAATTCGGCGTTTCTGAATATGTGAGCATAAAAATGGTGATCATTTATAGATGGTCCTTTATTTCATACGCTTTGTTATAAAGAGTAAATTTAACTTGTTATCAAATCATTCCAATCTTTTTATTCAACCGTTTAATTCAGTATGTCATCAGTTATGATTGGTAAAGTAAAGTTAACTAAATCATTACATTTTTAGCCAAACCCGAGTCTACTATTGTTACTTTTGATCAAAGTTCACGTAGTTTAGTTTCCTCGTGCTCAAACTATGCCTTGCATTATTGGTTGATTAATGCTGTAATATTACTAGTTTGTGATTTGATCTTGATTATCGTAGGTAAACCTGTATAATAAACTTCGAGACTGATGGACTAATGAATAAGCAAGGCTGATGAAAAGTGTATTAATACGATCGTACCCCATGTGTGTTATTTTCCCTAGTTTTGTATATTCAATTTACCCTGATCAGATAGAAAAGGAACAGTTATATTATTTAACTCATCAGACGTTAGTAAACAATGAACTTTTAGACCATTTTTAAAGTTATTTTCACAACAAAAAGCTTTCACACTTTAAACATTATTCCTTATTTTATTTTTTATCATTATTTTAATTTATTTTATCAATATACTGTCCTAACTACTCTCTATTTATTTTTGTATAAATATGAACAAAATTAGGATTTCAAAAATTCTAAACCGCAAAATGTTAATAAACAAACATCTCCCATTAAATTAAATTCATTGGATTCATTCTTTTCTCATCACCAAACATTTCAAACAAATATATCAATGTCTAAAAATTCTCTTAGTAATTCAAACAAACCTTCATCTATTAATAGTACCAATTATCATGTGAGTTAGTTTTATTATTTACAATTATAATGTTTAATGTTTTCAATGTAAAATCAACAAAATATATATGTGGTTTTGTCCTATTTGATTTATCTCTGTTAATTGACAAATTTATATTGACATCGACTATGAATGCATTCAAATCGATAGACTTTATGTCTGGTTTGTCCAAGGAATAAATGTACATATGTCGTTTACTAGTAGGACTCAAAATGAAAAACTTGTCACCCTAGATTCATTATTTGAATTCTTGCTCACACAATTTGCTCTCGAACCGGTACTATTGTGCCTAATTAGTGACTAAAACTGAAAAGCTAATGCACAGATTAAGATACTAAACTATGTGGAAGTAATATCAACCGATAAACTATAAAACGAAATTTCGAATGATTTTTGAATAGGGTAGCCTAATAGGTGGAAGTTTTCATTGAGTCAACGAAAAAGAATGTTATAATAAGGAACACATGTTTCGCCAGTTATCAGGAACTCCTTTTTCTTACCTTTTGTTTAATAGACTAAAATAACAAGCTATTACTGAAAAGTAAAATCTTGTGTAGATGGCTTTATGTTACGCTGGATTTCATTTTTGGTATATCTGATGTGTCTTTTACCAAGGTGTTAGATAATTTACAAAAGTGGATAAAGCGATTGTTCAACGTTCGATACTGATGATATTTCCACACTATTTTCTCAGGAAAGATATGAATTGAAATCAGTCAGTAATGAATGATGTAATTTTAAAATTCAGGAAGAGTTGGAATAATGAATGGCGCAATAAATAAATAAAGGGGGGGTAATGTTACCAGAGCAAAGGAAGATTTATTACTGTTTCTTTTTGTATACATAGCAGAAGCATGTCAATCACAAATCATAAACTCGTGCATAGCAAAACTGCTAGACAATCCAAAAGGCTTACTAAGAAACACAAACTTAAACTTCACCATGTATAGAGGAGTAAAACGGGGAAGCGAAGAAGGTTCTATCCTGTTCAATCTAGTCTTCAAACGTATTCTAGAACACACAATTGTTTGCACTTTGAAAGAAATTGACCTGAAAGATCAGAACAATGAATCCTGGTCAATCAAACATTTAGAATACACCGATGTTCTCTGTATAATAACTAATGACACGGAAGAAGCTACCATTGAAGTCTTAACTTCTTTCTGTCCCGACCGTTGTTGCTACCTTGACGTGGTGGTCGGGCTTGCCTATCGTGATGAAGCAACCGAGCTATACTGGCTGGAACAACCGTTCCTCAAGGTCCTACCATGTCAGACAGGTCGGTTGAAGAGCGGTAAGACTAAAAGCAACAAACCCAAGGTCCGAAGGCGAAGTCGTACTGCTGACTGTACAGTGGTGTGACAGCAGTAAGGTGTTTCCTTCAGACAACCAGCATGACAGCGATGCTGCCTTCCCACAAGGAGGGGTGGGGTTAGAAAAGGTCGACCCTAAAAATGCACACCTCACCTTACCTCACGGATTTCCGTCTCCGGCGGTAAGGCCCTTTGAAGAACGGAGCTAACACGTCGAAAACCTTCCACGAAAAGGCCGTGCGCGACCGGCCTCAAGCAGTTGTCCCTTGGGCACTGCGGTCACGCTCTCAGGCCACTGAGACCGCCTCTAATCCAATCTCCTTCTCAGGTACCTCCAGAACAACCCTTCCACGGTGTGGGCAACCGGGAAGTGATAACCGCCCTCATACCTCTAACAGCACCCAAGACCACTGTATTCATAGTCAACCTTCCTCTTCAATTCCTATTATTCCTCCTACATCGACTTTCAACCCTAAACTTCCTCCTTCGGCTTCCTCCTCAAGTGTCACCATAGCCAACGATTCTAGTGCTCAAAACTCTGTCCCAGGTCTACTGAAACCTCGCTCCAAACTACACATTGGAGCTTTCAACGTACTCACTCTATGTCAAATCGGTCAGCAGGCTTCCTTGGCTAAAACCCTAGAGTCTCTTTCCATTGATGTATGCTGTGTCTCTGAAACACGCATACAGGATCCCAGTGTGGTCATTCACTTGACCTCACCTCGGCAGAACGGAGAGCCAACGAGATACACCCTCCGTGTATCTGGTGACCCGATGGCCAGTTCTCGTGGACTGGCAGGTGTAGGCATAGCACTAAGCATGAGGGCCGAACAAGCACTGCTAGAGTGGATCCCCGTCAACAGTCGTCTATGTGCTGTTCGGCTGAACGGCTACGTAAGAACTCGGAAGGATAGGGACACACGTCGTTGCCTTTTTGTCGTTTCTGTCTACGCTCCCACTAACTGCAGCTCAGATGAAGTGAAAGATGAATTTTACAGAAAGCTTTCTGAACTTCTTCAGAAAGCTAAACGCTCAGACATAGTACTCGTAGCAGGTGATTTTAATGCTCAGATAGGTAGCTTAAACCAAACAGAAAGGCATTTAGGTGGATATTTTAGTATTCCGACACAGCGAACAGATAATGGTGATCGTCTGCTGCAGCTATGCTCAGACAATCGTTTATTTTTAGTAAACACAAATTTTAAGCATAAGGAGAGACATCGTCTAACATGGCGACCCCCTACACCAAACCAACGATGGACTCAAATAGACCATATTGCCATCAGTCATCGTTGGAGAGGGTCGGTAGAAGATTGTCGCTCATTCTGGAGTACCTGCTTGGACTCCGACCATGCCCTAATACGGGCACACATTTGCTTGCGCCTCACTGGACGCAAAAAAGCCACATTAAAAAGACCCGTTAGAACTGAGTTGAGTAACGAGAAAACCAAAAGTAGGTTCCAGGAACAACTGAGGTCACACTTAGGTAGTTGTGAAGACGAGGCTGACCCAGTTGTTGCTTTGAAGGGCATACAATCAGCTGTGGAAACAGCAGTGACATCTATTAGTGACTTAAACCACAGAGTTGCAAGGAACCAGTGGATTTCTTCAAGGTCTGTCACACTGATGGATTCTCGCAAACTCGTCCCATCAGGTTCTGAACGTGATGAAGAGCGAAAACAAATCAGATCTAGGTTAAGAAAAAGTCTAAGGAACGACCGTGAGCAGTGGTGGGTAACGAAAGCAAAAGAGATGGAAAAGGCGGCGACTATAGGGAACACAAGACAGCTTTACAGACTAATAAAAGAAACTGGAATTAATAAGTCAAGTGTAAGTGAGATTATTTCGGAAAAAGATGATACTCTCATCTGCTCCCAGTCCAGACGTTTAGAACGATGGGCGGAACATTTTAGAGAACAGTTCAGCTGGCCTTCAGCTACTCTACAACTACCCTCCATTCCCAGACAATGTGAATGGAACATTGAAGTAGGTCCTCCAACTCTTGCTGAAGTTCAAAAGGCTATAGTTAATCTGAAACGAGGAAGGGCAGCTGGTCCAGATGGATTTGCTCCAGAGGTCTTTAAGGATGGTGGTCCAATTTTAGCGATTAGGTTGACTAATATTTTAGCTAAGATCTGGGAATTAGACTTTATCCCATCTGACTGGTCGCAATCACACATCGTCCCAATATATAAGAAAGGGTCAAAATCATCCTGTGACAACCACAGAGGGATTAGTTTAACAAACATAGTATCTAAAATACTGGCCTCGATAATTATCAGACGCCTAACTAAGACTCGTGAACTACAAACTCGAGAGAACCAAGCTGGCTTTAGACCTGGTCGTGGCTGCATCGACCACATATTCACCATTCGTCAGGTTCTAGAACACAGGCATACCTATCGGCGTCCGACGATGGTGGTCTTTCTTGACTTAAAAGCAGCGTTTGACTCTGTAGACCGCGAGACTCTGTGGCAGTGTCTGTCATTGAAAGGCGTACCCCAGAAGTACATAAGCCTTGTGAAGGCTCTTTACTCGAACACCACTAGTCGAGTCAGGGCTTATGGCGAACTATCATCTACTTTTGCAACTTCAAGTGGTGTCCGTCAAGGCTGTCCACTTTCTCGATTTTTGTTTAACTTCACCATAGACCTATTGATGGAAATAACACTCGTCGACTGAATTCTCGGGTATCGATCTCCTTCCAGGAGGTCCACTTATCGACTTAGAATACGCAGATGATATAGTCCTGTTTGGTGAAGACGCTGACAAAATGCAGAGTCTTCTGGTAGCACTAAGCAACAATGCCAGAATGTTTGGGATGCGCTTCTCTCCCTCTAAATGCAAGTTGTTGCTCCAGGACTGGTGTGCGTCAACACCTGAACTAAGGATAGGGAGTGAAGTAGTCGAACGCGTCGACAACTTCACTTATCTTGGAAGTCTGATCAGCCCTAATGGGTTGGTGTCTGACGAAATCTCAGCACGGATTCGAAAAGCTCGCTTGGCTTTTGCCAACGTACGTCACCTATGACGAAGGCGAGATATCCGTCTATCAATAAAAGAACGAGTATACTGCGCGGCAGTCCGTTCTGTCTTACTTTACGGCAGCGAAACATGGCCTTTAAGAGTAGAAGACACCCGTAAGCTACAAGTATTTGACCACAGATGCCTTAGAAATATTGCTCGTATCTGCTGGGATCACCGGGTAAGTAATAGTGAGGTTAGACGCAGGGTATTAGGGAATGATGGTAAATCAGTTGATGAGGTTATGAATCTTCATCGACTGATATAGTTGGGCCACGTATTACGTATGCCTGAACACCGATTACCACGACGTGCAATGCTAACCGGTGTAGGGGTTGGTTGGAAGAAAGTTAGAGGCGGCCAAACCAAAACGTGGCATCAGTGCTTGAAGTCACTAACTTCTAGTCTGAGCCATGTTGGTAGATGCAGACTACTTGGTTGGGGTCCGCGTGACTATCGTAACCAATGGTTGGAGACTCTTGGTGACATGGCTCAGAATCGATCACAATGGCGTCGGTGTATACACTCCCTGTCTTCCCTTAAACTAAGAGATTAAATCACTTCATATCTTTCTACGAACTAATTCTTCCTTCCTATACTATATCCTTATTGCAACCTTTGACCTAACCACTCCTATGAATCCGGTGTTCATCTTGTTGTGCTAATGAGGTATGGCAACCTGGACCGATGCACATATGTGCCTGGTCCTACGTTGTAGCTGACTGACTAACTTCTTTCTGTGCTTGATCTCATCTTTTAGTCGCTGATTTTCGGGGATTTGCCGTTAGTGTTGCAGCTTGCATAATGGATTTTTCTATTTGTATAAAATCATTTGCTTCATCTATTAGATTATTATTCCGAAAAGTTTAATATCAAACGGACTAAAAACATTCAGCAGTGCCATCGCAAGACATCTCCTTGACACAGGACACGAAGTCGATACACTGAAGTCCTTCAAGGTGATTAACAAACAGTCAGACTCAAACCTTTTGAAATTTGCCGAAGCGATAGCAATCAAACGTCTAAAACAAGATCTATGTATACAAAAAGAAACAGTAATAAATCTTCCTTTGCTCTGGTAACATTATCCCTCCCCTTTATTTATTTATTGCGCCATTCATTATTCCAACTCTTCCTGAATTTTAAAATTACATCATTCATTACTGACTGATTTCAATTCATATCTTTCCTGAGAAAATTATATATATATATATATATATATATATATATATATATATATATATATATCATCTAATGTGTTTTTCAATTCCATACGTTCTAATCACTATTTCAATGTTCTAGAACCTTCCCTCCCAAACTTTATTTATTCGAAACGAAATTTTATGACCTCATTAACTCTATCAGAATCTTCGCTTCATCATAATACATATATTCCTCCCTAATCACCCTCTCATCTGTATGTCAATAACTGTAATAACTCTGATTTTCAAATGTTTTAGGTTGTGAGCAGCTGAGAACCTAACGAAATACAATGAATTCATATTATTCTGCACCGATCTTTGTTCTTGCTCATAAATTCATCTATACCTGTTGAGAACAGGCTTTACATTACACATAGACTGTATGTTCCTACTCATTTATCTCATTGATTTTAAAATTGTGTGGTATTTTCCCCTATTTGAAAGTGGATTATTCACTTACTATTAAATTATATTTTAAATTTTCATTAATATTACTCTTCTCTACAATATTGTTTATTTTCTTCCAGGTATCTGCCAATACCAGTACTTCCCTATCAAAAGAGGATACGACATTAAATCAAAATACTTCTATGCTTGATAATAATGTTACTCATCAACCAGTAGCTTTTGATAATTTTATGGATTTTGAAAATAGTGCATGTAATGTTTATTTTTATTCATTATTAAGCAATTTGTTTTATTTCAAAAATATAGGTATCATGAATAAATGCACTTTTGAAACAAAATCAGAACAGAAAGTAAATGTTTGATGTAGTAAAGACTAATAAGTAGTTTTTTTTTTCAAAATCCTTTTGTTCAATTCATTTAAATAAAAAAGCAGGATAGTATCAAATGACTTAATATTCACGAAGTAACAATTATTTTATTACTTTAACTCACACTTGCATATTAAGTCCTGCAATACTAAACGACTTAAATCTTAAAACTTTTCCTCCTAATTCACAGTAGTCCTTGTTTATAAGTCCCAATAGGAAGGACTTCCAGGACACAGAATGCACAGTCATTCAATTCAGCTAAATTATCCCCATTGTCGCTTTTGGATGTTAAACGTGGTAGTATCTCCTTCCAGTGTCATCGTCCATGATATGTTGTTAATAGTATAGCGTTCACTTCAGTTCCCTAGAATAAAATCAAACTATCTGAACCATCGATGTAAATATTTAGAAATAAATTCATCTGTACTACGGATCATTCTCCATTAGTATATTTATTCACCCGTGTTAGCAACTACATCAGATTAAAATAGTGAAACAGTTTGTCCTTGTGTACTTGGATTGTCTAATAATGTACTTTTTGTTTTGAATAAATACTATCAATTAAATTATAAATGGTCAAATTATCTACTTTTTCATTTAATTGATTTCGCTCCAATACTTGAGCATCATTTTTCTAACTTATATCTATGCTGGCATCATTTTAACTTTTATAATGACGTTTATTAATTTAGGTTTTTGATGAGGAAATACGCATGTTAACGTGATCATAATTATTTTTCATTGACACGGATTGCTACAATTGACTCCACCTTAGATTATGTACCACAAGGTTATATATATTTACTATTTTTATACGCAGGGCATCTTGGTAACGAACTTTCTTCGGGTAATCAAACTGATAATGCAGAATGCAATAAGCCATCCTGTGGCACTACAAAAAATTCCACCCAGTCTAATCAAAATGATTTAACACAACAGCCTTCCTGCAACATTAATAAAGTCGCTGGTGTCAAGTCAATATCTAATGTAAAGGCACCAGTTGGACTTCCAAATTTTGAACATTTAGAACCAGTAGGTGAACCTTGGTATGTTGGTAAAATGTCCAGATCACAAGCCGAAAATTTGTTGCGTTATGATGGGGATTTTCTTGTACGTGCTAGCATTCAGCAGCCTGGTCAGTTTGTACTAAGCGGCCTTCAAGACGGAAAATATAGACATTTGTTACTGGCCGATCCCAATGGAAAGGTAATATTCTGTTTAAGGCAACTTCATTAACCACACCATGTTTGCAAACAAAATTTCATTTATCTGCTAAAAATTTAGCAAGATATTCTTTAGGTTAGCATGTTGGAGATAGATCTAATTGTACGATATCAGCTAAACAACCGACAGATCGAATTTCGTTTTGCCTGACACAGATCTATCAGCCACAGTATTTCGTTAATTTAAACACCCAATTTCCAACCATATGGTTAGGAGTCTGAATCTTGATTTCATCACCTCGATTCGTGTGGTTTTTCCGAAACAAATGTAGCTCAAGTTCAATTACAAAAAAACTCTTGGACTCATCTAATTTCAACCTCTAGTGTACGCTTACAAAAGTTCCACGAATAAAATTCAATGTTACATTTCAATTGATAGTATTTGTATAATAAACTTGTAGTTAATACATTACAAATATCGGGACGATTTTCACTATCTTAAACTTGCTTTGACCCGTTAATTATGTGTAGTAACCACCTAATGTAATCAGATTATTTCACAAAACTAGTGGAAATATCACAGTTGTTGGTGCATTTTCCACGTTGTCTTCTGAGGGAACTAAGGCTGGTTACTTTGGATGTATTAAACAAAAAATATCATTAAAGAGGAGCTTGCTGCAACACTACCGGTTCCTGACTAGTATCAAATTGAGGAATTTGTATCCACATTATGGGGAAAAAAATTGTGAATTCTGGATTTTGGAAAATTATGTTTATTAAAATTTTGAACTGGCCTAGATCTTATATGCATGTTTTTGACAAATTTCAGGTACGTACAAAAGAACGAGTATTTGATAGCATACAACATCTTATTGATTATCACGTACAAAATGGTGCGCCTATTCGTTCACTTGACAGCGAAATAAAATTAATATTTCCGGTATCTACACATACATTTTGCATTTCTTAATTCAATTCCGCATGTAAGTTGTAATTACTTTTATGGACTCGTTGTCTACAGTGTCCATAACAATGTTTAGTAGCAGGAATGTTTGTGAGGTCTTAACCTCGTATATCAATGGACCCAAATAACATATGCCGTGTTGTGTGTTAGCGAGCAATTTTAGTAATTATCGACTAGTGTACACCGATTTGCCACCAAAGTTATTACTCAAATTTGCGTATATCCTCACGTCATTAAAATGGACATCTACATCGAGAGCGAAACGTACTATAATCTGATTGACAAGCTTGTATGTTGAATCTAAATAGCAAACAGCATGTTTTAATCACCTATTTTTAAAGTAGAATTTGTATGCCAGGTGTTAATTCAGCAATGCATTTTGTCTAAGCGATTTTACTGTCCATTGCTACGATTAATGAAGCTTTTCGGATAAACTAATAATTTTAGCAGTCAACTGTTATCATATTATGTAAATAATCTCAACATCTTTGAATTTCAGGATCTTTGACATAGGTGCACAATTCAGTGATAACATACCAACAACTCAACTTTATCTCTGTGATCTAATAACTTTATTTTATATCCCATGCTTATATTGTTAAGTTATGCTTTCTCTATCAACTTTCTATTTCATAACATTCCAAAACTTTGTGTAAATCGACTTACCTACTTTTATACTAAACTTGTGCAACATGCAATAATATTTGGCTGTAATTTATTTTACATCACATTATTTTACTAGTGACTTTTTTGTTGCTTTTCTGCAAATTAATCACTGATTTTGCGTAATATGACTTCTATAAAAATCCTGTAAAATTTTCTAGACTTCAAAATAAAACGACAAACCAATGAAGTGCGGCAAGTCATTTCATGTTCGTTTTTAAATACATTACCTAATGATTTCACAAATACTGGGTTGTATATCTGTACGAATAGATATGGTCTGAACTTATCACAGACACGTAAGCATTAAAAATCGTACAGGTACTTAACTCTTCAAGCTCTATACACTAAGTGCTCCGTGTGAATCGAAACTGTAAGTAATGGAACGTAGTTCAATAAAGTTAACTGTCACTTACATTTTGACATATACAAATACAGTTCAGATCTATTTCATGTGATCTTAACTTGCCTCAATTTGTGAAAAAATTCTAACGCAGCAAACGTCAACGTGAACTTAATATGAACTGCTATGTGAACTTTTGTATTTCACTTTAAAAACCTAAGCTTAAGAAGAATTATTACTGATGAAATACAAAGATAAAGAATTCCACAATTCCGAACTTAGTGGAATATCAAGGAGGAAAACACGTGCTATTGCCACCGGTCTTGAGCTTTATCGCCTATGGTCTCCACAGTTAGTAGTTCATAGACAGCATTAGTTCTAGAGGAAATTCCAGTCATGTGTCTATATCTACTTCGTATTACACAACTTCTATTAAGATCGAAAATTCCAAGAATAGTTCGCCAAGCGTTTTTGATTATTCTGGATTTGAATTGTTTGTGGGATATTTTCTTCACACGCTTCTGAATCATCGTTGTTTCATGAGTTTAATTATCTCTGCTTAACTATTTTAACCCAGAGAAAAGCCTTTCAATCCAACAGAACGTTTGTTAAGACATTTAGTCACAGATGTTAAGCTACAGGTCCCAGTTTCGTCTAAATAGATACTTTGTTGAGTTTTAACAGTGAAAGGAGCGACTGATTCAAATTTTCACCGCTAAAAAACAAATAGTCCAACTTTTTACACTTATTTATAAACCAACTACTTCCATGGCTAACCGTAAGCGGATTTTCATACCAAACGAACTATTATTATTTCCAATTTCACGTGGTTGCGCGGCTGGGAAAAAATAATCACATAGATTATATATATATATATATATATACTTTTTATAAGATATAAGCGCAAGATGAACATAAATTATGACAAATTCATGCATAGCAAAGGTTCATCAGAGTACACTGTCAGAATGCTCATTAACACATTAGTCATTCAGAGCTTAATTTATTCGAAACTGCTGCAGCTAATTCAAAGTAACGACAAAAACGTTGTCTTAATACAATAATAAAACTCCGTATATCTTCAGTCCAATTCAGGTGGTTTACAAGCCTTTCTAGATCCGGTACGGGTGGATCACACAACACGACTTCAAAGCGATTAGTATTTACTATACGAAGTTGACAACAGCATACAATTACTTCATCACTACTAACCAGCGCTTCTGAACAACCATGAAATAGCAACTGTAGTAGCCCAGAGTGCGTTTTCTGTATTTGAATTCCAAGTAGGCGTTCGAATGGTTGGATCATTTTATAAACTTGCATCAGTGTAGAATTTTCGAATTCACATGGGAAAAATGAATCTTCAGGAGGATTTTCAGATTCAATTTGTTTCAAGTAAGCGATCTAGGAGGACAAGCAAACCAAATTTATATGCGGTTTAGTTGAAAAGTATAAAGCACACGTGTGATAGGTACAATGGTTGTAAAATAATACCGTTAAATTTGCAATTAAGTTTTGGCAAGTACGTTGATCAGTAATGTAAAATGAAGCTCATTTCTTAGTTGTGTTTTTCCACTGGAGAACTAAGATATGACGTACCGCAATTTTTATTTACGATAATTACGTCAAATGAACCCGACTACAGTTGCTACTTAGATGTGGTGGTCGGTCTTGTTTATCGTGGCGACTCAACCGAGCTATATTGTCTGAAGCATATGTTTATGCTCGGATCATGCTCTAATTCGGCCACGTATCTTACTGGACGTAGAGAAGCCACAACGAATAAACTCCTTAGAGTACAAATTGATCATGAAAAAAAAAAACATATTTCAGGAACAACTGGAGAAGAAACTAGTCAACCGTCAAAATGATATCCATTTCGAGGTCAGTGAGTTGCAACGTAGGACCAGGCACATGTATGCATTGGTTTAAGTTGCCACACTTAATTATCAGAACAAGATGAACACCGATTCGAGGTAATTGTGTATGGCATCCACAAAGCTGTGGAAACAGCAGTGATATCTACCAGTAACTTAAACCAAAAGGCTAGGAAAACCAGTGGATTTCAGCGGTGTCTACAGAACTGATAGATTCTTGGAAATTCATCCCGTCTTGCTCAAAAAACGACGAGGAGTGGAGGCAGCCTTAACGTAGGCTGGTTAGAAACCTACGTAATGATCGTGAGCAATGGTAGGCAATAGCAGACAACTGTTCAGACTTATCAAGGAAACGGGTTTTAGGAATACAGATACATATACGCCACAAAAATCTAATTTAATTTGTGTGAGGGCTGTGATATTGCCCGGGTGCCCAAACCGAAGCAAGGAATACGGCTGTCAGTGAAACTGTTTCGGAAAAAGACGAGACCATTATTCGTTCTCAATCCAGAAGATTAAACCGATAAGCAGAACACTTTGGAGAACAGTTCGATAGGCCTTTCGTCACACTTCAACTTGGACTGATGAATATATGTGCCTAGACCTACGTTGAAGCTGACTGACTGACACAGTTACCCACTATCTTCATGCAACATGAATGGCAAACTGATGTAAGTTCTCCAACTCTTAGTGAGGTTGGAAATACTATAAGCAATCTAAAGCTAGAGAGGGCAACAGGACTTGATGGACTAATCCTTGAGATCTTTTAAGGATGATGGTCCAGTTTCAGCAATCAAATCAACTGAGATCTTCGCTAGAATCTGGGAAATGGATGAAATCTCATCTGACTGATCATCTCAGTTTATAAGAACAAAAATCTTGTGATAATCACAGAGGAATCAGTTTAACCAATATAGTGTTTAAAATATTAGTCTCGATAACACTTTGACGTCTAAGTAGAGTTCGTGAGTAGCGAACCCGAAAAAACCAGATCGATTTCAAACCTGGATGTGGATGTATAGACCAAATATTTACCCGTCGGGAGGTTCTGGAACAGGCATACTTCTGGATATCCGACAAGTTTTATTTCTTGACCTTAGGGTGGCGTTCGGCTCCGTTGATCGAGATACTATGGCAGTAGTTGTCATTGAAAGGGATACTAAAGAAGTGCATTAACGTAAGGTGTTTGGGTGCAGTCGATAGGAAACCCACGTTTTGTGCCATTCGACACTCGTCATTAAGGTGCAACTGTAATCCCGCGGAAAGCAATGCTCCCTGGGGGATCCGATTCCATGTCACACAACCTCACACTCAGATGTTACCACGGAGCTATCCGGGCTGCAACTGACCTTTTCTAGGACTGAGATGTATTCACATTGCAATCTGATCGATTTGCACTAAGGACCTGACAAAAAATTAGTTACTAGCCAGTGACCAATCAACTGGAAGCACGTTAACACTGTACAGACTCTCTATTCGAACACTAATGCTTGAGTCAGAGCTTATGGCGAAATTTTATGGAAGTTGATCACTTCAAGTAGTGTTCGTCAAGATTGTCCGCTTCCCTCATTTTCATTTAATTTTGTCATAGGAATGCTTTTAAAGGTAATACTTCCATATCCTGACTTTCCAAGGTTGGTCTATCAGGAGGTTTACTTGTTGACCTGTAGTACGAAGACGATATAGTTCTGTATGGCGAAGACGCTAACAAAAAGCATTTTACCGTCCACCTTATGCAAACATGCTAGCATGTTCGGGATGCGGTTTTCTTCCTCCAAATGCAAAATTTTACTTCAGGATTGGCTTGCATCTGCGTCTGAATTAGTGATAGAGAGTGAAGTAATCGAGTGTGTCGACCACCACTTATACCGGAATCCCCATCAGTGCTGATGGTCTGGTGTGTGACGAAACGTTGGCACAAATTTTGAAGGCTCGATTGGTTTTTTGAAGACTTGCATCAAATAGTGGTGTAGGCGAGATATTCGTCTTCCAAACAAAGGACGAGTTTACTGCTTGACAGTTTGCTCCGTCCTAATTTATAGGTGTGAAAAATGGTCATTAAGAATAGAGAATGTTTGTAGGTTATTGGTATACGACTACTATAGGTATCCACGAAGGACTGCTAGCGTATTTTGGAACCACGGAGTAAGCAATGACTGAGTTAGGAATAGAGTTCTAGATAAAGACGGAAAATCGATCGATGAGTTAGTAAGTCTTCGTCAACTGAGGTGGTTATGAGGTGTTACGTATGCCTAACCACTGCCTACCTCGGGTGGTTTTCTGGAGCAGGAGAAGGTTGGAATAAAGCCAGGGGTAGCCAAACCAAACATGGCATTATTCCACTGCCAACCGGGCTTAGCGTTGTGAATAGTTATGGACTAACTGGTTGGAGTCTTTGTGATTGTGAATGGCATGGCTCAAAATCGTTTGCAACAACACAGGTGCATTTATTCTTTGACTAACCCGAATCCTAACATTATAAGTTCCTCACAACTTATTTTTGTTTTTATTTCGCTAATTTACATTTTCTTTTTGAGTCGTATCTACGATGCCTATTATTATTATTACCATTGATACTGTTACTACATCTATTACTCCAGGAATTTGCGTCATAAACCAATGTATGTACGTACCAGGTTCTACGTTGTGACTGTGACTAAGTAAAACCGATAGTAGATATTAGTTTCTTGACCTATTGAACTGAAGTGAGAAGACGCAC